TCTGCCTCTTGGCCCCTCCCACACCCCCGCCAGGTGACGTCACTAAGTGCTAATCTACAGGCGCCTGAGTCGAAACATTTAGTCGTGTTTCTCGTTAGCGGACAGTGAAGGTTACCTGCTTCAACAGTGCTTGAACGGCAACCTTTCAACTGTCTTTATACAGCACGGGACCAGTCGCTCCGATACATCGAGTGAATTTAAACTTGAAACATTAGCTAGCTTAGTCAGCCTTGAAAACCACCTAGCTCGGAAGCTAACTCTTTGTTTTGCTAACAACGCACTGCTTCGACCTCCTCTCCACGCCACTGAAATTTGGTAAGGAAACGTTCCCTATGTTTTATTTTCTTATCGTTATGTTTGATTATAGATTCCAGGCTGACATTGGCTTTGTAATTTGATAATACTGGTTCGATTTATCCGCTTCAGGTCGCAGTCAGTGTGGGCCTGTACGCATTTGGCTGCCCAAGCTTTGCGCAGTGTTTTCAGCGCCATGTGTGGCTTCCTTCAAACACATCGTACTAAATAAATATTTACTTTATTTAAACAAGTCGAGCTTTAACCAGATTCATACTTTGCGTTGTGACTTATGTAATTGTTAAGGCCTGTTTTAATGGTAAAGAGTGCAAAGTTTAGCAGATGTTTTCATGAAACTTTTTTTCTTCTGATTTTTGCCTTACGTAACGTACATGGCCTAGCCCAGTGATACTGTTTGATGAAAGAATAACGTTCGTCAAACATCAAAAATACTGAGCAACACAATCAGTATTACGCAGCTGTTATGAGGTGTGACACTTATAAGTCGAGCTATTGTCTGAGGTTCGTGGGCCAAACCCCAGAAATGTATTTAAACACAGTAAAAGGAGCCTATTTAAAAAAAATTAATCAGAACCTTTTCACTGCTCTTGAACTCGTCCTACTCTAATCACCTTTGCAAATAGTTACTGATATAATTGTGATTTTTATGTTTCAGAACCATGAGTTCCCAGGTCAGACAGAACTTCCACCAGGACTGCGAGGCTGCAGTCAACAGGCAGATCAACCTGGAGCTGTATGCCTCCTATGTCTACTTGTCTATGGTAAGAGCAATCCATGGTGCACGGTCAGATTAAAAAGGGTTATTGAAGGACAGCTCAGTGGAAAGTACCAGTCTGTAACATCTGGTGACATTCGGGTAATCGTGCTCAGAGAAAAGGGAAGTGTGAGTAGATTTTATTTATAATCAAGAAGTGATTTTAATTCCTTTTAACTAGGCTGCTATGTGGTATAAGTGCTGTGCTTGGTTTCTGTCCAGGTACAGCCATTTAGCTGAGAAAAAGGCAGGGGAAGTTGTTTCGGAGGTGTTGAAGCAGCCTACTGCCATTTAAAATGGATAAATAAATAACCCACTATCAGAGCAAGCTGCTTTTTAAACAGGATTAGTCAAATATAAGGGAGGTTTTTAAACTGAGGGGATATTAATGTTTAGGTATTGAATAAAAAAAAAAAAAAAAGGTTGAAGTTCCTTTGAGTATGTATAAAGAACAGGCAGGCAACTATGGTTTCTGTCCTCTGTATGACAAGTCCTTTTTGTTTGTAATGGTTTTGGCAGGTAGATTTTAAAAACCTTACCTAAAGTTTACAAACGTTCTTCCTTACAGTCCTACTACTTTGATCGTGATGACCAGGCATTGCACAACTTTGCCAAGTTTTTCCATCATCAGTCGCATGAGGAGCGTGAGCACGCTGAGAAGCTAATGAAACTGCAGAACCAGAGGGGTGGAAGGATCTTCCTCCAAGACGTCAAGGTATGAGATTTGTGAAAACAAATGGACTGTAACTTATGTTAACTTCTGGCTGAGTGTGAGATTGTTCTGGGCTATCTTAAGCTTCACATAGGGACAGAGAGATACCAAGGGCGTGGGCGTGCAGAGTCTCTTATCGCTTTCGGGCATGCAAACATGACCGCCAGAACTCGAGTGAAACGTTAAACTGCAAATCTGCTTTACATATTCAGGAAGCTTGTTTTTTAGGTCAGGTTGGTGAACGTTTATCTTTCATTAATAAATGTCTCACTTGTTTTTGGGTTTTGTTTTTTTTATGATGCTTTAATTGCAGAAGCCAGACAGGGATGAGTGGGGCAGCGGTGTCGAGGCTCTTGAATGTGCCCTGCAGCTCGAGAAGAGCGTGAACCAGTCACTGCTGGATTTGCACAAACTCTGCTCTGAACACAATGACCCACATGTGAGTACTAAAATATGGTGTGTATGTCACACAGCAAAGTGCAGTGAGAAGGAACACCAAAATTAAATTGTGAACACACGTAAGGCATGCTGATTGGTTGTACACCTGCAAATCTGGAAATCAATTTTATTTTTTGTGTAATATAAAAACATAGGTGACTCTGATGTGGCCTGTATGACATTTATTTTTAAAGTGTACGTATAATGCAGGAGATGTCTCTCCTTTCTTGGTTTTTTTGTTTGTTTTTGTTTTGGTGTCGTCTTATTAAACGAAACTGTCTCTTTCAGATGTGCGACTTCATTGAGAATCACTACCTGGATGAGCAGGTGAAGTCCATCAAAGAGCTGGCTGACTGGGTGACTAATCTGCGCCGCATGGGCGCTCCCCAGAATGGCATGGCGGAGTACCTGTTTGACAAACACACTCTTGGCAAAGAGAGCAGCTAAATCTCTCACACCACATTTACTACAGCTTATGTGTATTTGTATCTTGCTTCAAAATGAAAAGCCATCTGCATGTTGCTGGTTAGACCTTTAAAGTTATTACTCATGTTATTATTAGAAGCCCCTGTGAGTTTGTTCAAACCCTCCCTATATCTTGCATGTCTCTCTACAATTAGAAACGCTCGTAATTGCTACATATTTGCTGTATTTTAAAGCCTGGAGGTGTTACTCCGACCAAATAAACCAACCCTCTGGATTCTGAACAGTTTTTTGTCTTTCATGTTTCTGTGATGGTAAAAGTGCAAAAAAAAAAAAACCTGCCTACACCAAACATCAATCTGTTTCAGTTCCTTCTCCAGAGAAAATAAACTGCAGCTGATTGCCTTCAGATAAAAATTCACACACGTTGGAGCTAAATGGCACAAATGTCAGGTCCGTTTTAAATTTTCAGCAACTGGTAGTTTAAAGTCTGGCAGCAATTCTTGTTTTAGCATAAACAAGCAAAATAGTCAGTTTAGCTGAACGTAAACAGTTTTCAGAGAGCCTCAATTCTCCTGAAACGTACCCACCAGAAATCCCAAATAAGCACCTTGATGTTATACTAATTGGCAGTTTGTTGTCCAAGTTTTTCAAATGTACGTTCTCAAGCTCCCTCAGTATTTATTTATTTTTTTTCTCCTCAAAGTTTACGAAACTAATCTGGGGATTTCCAGCTTGAGCAAAGCTTGTACAGGAAATCAAGATGAAATGTCCGAGAGTCTATCTGCGTCATCAGCAGTTCCCTCTGTTTTGCAGTCGCATGTTTTCTTCCAAGGATACAGACTGTGCGCTCTGGTATTAATTGTGACTCCCTCCAGTGGTGAGTTACAGCCAGCAAGACTAACAACAGCGTTGATGGCAAGAGTAAAGGTGTCAGCAAGGTGGAAGAATGCCTTACAAGCCGCCATAATGGGGAAAAAAACTGCAAGTTACTAAATGCAGGATAATGTATGCCAGGGAAATGTGTTAATTAGCCTAAATGAAATGAAAGTATTTGGGCTTCACCTAAAACAAACTTAAGATTTATTTTTTTATGGCTTGATTTGCATTTAAAAATATATTATCAACATATTTTATTCAGAACTTGTTCAAAATTTAAAGGGATTAAACAGTAATCAATGCATCAGAGTAGTCCAATTTAAACCATGTCAGTCAAAATGCAAAAGTGAATTCATGTTAGTGAGAAAATCAAACTTACTCCCACCTGAAGCTATCCTACTTTATATGCACCCATTGTGCAATTTATCAGGAAAACCTGTTCAGCTGCTTCCTACTGTAAATCTTACCAGCCAATCACGTGGCAGCAACTTATGTAGACATCGTCAAGATGACCTGAGGTTCAAACTGAGCGTCAATGACTTTAAACATAATATGGTTGTTGGTGTTAGATGTGGTGGTCTGAGATTTTCAGGAGTTGATCTACTCAATTTTCTCTCAAGCTCTCTTTTCTTTAAAAGCATAATTGTCTTCATAGACGTTGATATTGATAGTCTGTGTTCTCTATTTATTTAGGTGCTAATTTTATCTTAGCATTTTCCTCTTACATACTTTGTAAATGCACTTCTGTCTACTAGTGAAGTTAAGTAAAGTCTGGATATTTACATTACAACAAATCCTTTAACTATGAATGCTTTAAGAATTTTCTGTGGGTGAAAAAAGTCCTAATGCAAGAGTTCAAAGAAGAATGACCAGAGTGCTAAGGCTGCAATTCACAGGCTCACCAAAACTGGAAAAACATTGCCTTTCAATTTCTGCTTCAGTATTTAGATGGTAGGGTCAGTATTAGTTGTTCAGACTGCTGGTTTTGTAACAGTGATGGAGCGATTTTATTGGGACTCTTTTTACCAATTGAGCATCTTTTAAACACCAGTGTGCCATCGTCTGATGGCTGCTTACAGCAGGATATCTTACATGTCGCGAAGCTCAAATTATCGCAAATTGTTTTCTTGAACATGACAGTGAGCTGACTGTACTCAAATGGCCTCCAGAGTCACCATCCAGATCTCAGTCCAACAGAGCACCTTTTGGATGTGGTGGAATGAGAGATTGACGTTGTGGATGAGCTGACAAAAAAATGCTATCATGTCAATATGGACCAAAATCTGTGACGAATGATTCCAGCACCTTGTTGAATTCATGCTCTGAACCCAAGAGGAAGTCCAACACAGTGCTGTATCTAAGAAAGCCACCATTTACTGTATGTCACAAATTAGCAGATATGGGAAATATCAAATTTCTATCACAAACACTTTAGGGGAAGCTGTTAGAACAACACACCGCATACTAATACATCACATGTTAATGTACCACATAAAACTTTATTCCATACAAAGAACTGTTTTTCCAAAAGCAGAAGTGCTATAAGGAACAATCCCCGCTATCACTCTGATCATCAAACTGCCTGGAAAACTCTCAGTCAACAGCAGGATGTGATGTTTCACGCTTCTTCAAGCTCCACCAGCACACCGTCACAGTCTTTAGGATGGAGAAACATGACCGGTTTGCCGTGAGCACCTATCCGCGGCTCCGCCGAAAGCATTCTGATGTTCTTGGTTTTTAGGTCGGCTATCGCAGCACTAATGTCGTCTACCTGCAGTCATAGGGGGAACAAAACATTATTGTTCAATTCACTTGTTATCATTAGGGTTAAAAATGATCACAACTGAGTGTCAACTCTCATAACACTGCAAACTAACGCACAGGCCCCCCGTGCTGAGTCACATAATTTGGGACAAGCTGTTACTGGATTTATAGGACCAACAACAACACTGACATTTGTTGTCTGACATGAACACATAACACTAACAACAAACTCTACTACACTCACACAGGCCCTAGATAATTATTCCTAAATACTTTTTAAGCTTCGATACACGTAGTAATTATGATTTCTGCAAAAGCTGAACTGCTTTTTTTTTTTAAAGTTATTTTACTTTATGTAATTTAGTAAATTCATAATATTACATTAGGCCATTCTCATGGTCAGTGATGACAATTATTTTTCAGTTTTTAGTGTTTGAAGATGTTCATTTTTAGATTAATTTGTTAGTTTCCGTCTTTTAAATTATTACCTTATGATGGGTATTTGTAAATTCAGAGTAGATCTTAAAATAAAAACACAAGCAAAGATAATCGTGTGGTCATCCCAGGTCATATCATATGTATTTATATGTACCAAATAGCCATACTACTACACCGATTCACATAACAAATGCAACACAACAGTTTCTTATAAATACCATGTCACAGTCTGAAGGAAAGCATGTTTTCTTTGGGCCATTCTGACTCACAATCCTCATAAAACATGAGAGAAAGATTTTGCTGCAGCACATCCTCAGAGCAAAAGGAAAATGAATATGAACCAGAAGGCAAGGATTGTCTCATAAAACACTAGTGCAACTAATGCTTTAAACCAGTACACTCATTCATTATATACACGTCACCGTAGACGTAGACAAGAGGAAGTACGAAAATGAACAAATTCTGAATTCAGTCTCGTGAATTTGGGGTCACGTGAACAGATAAATGAAGCAGAGCCATGCAAAAATGTAATAAAAGCTCTCCCCTGTCATCGCCGTCTCACCTCGATACAAATGTGATGCATTCCTCCTGACTTGTTTTTCAACAAGAAGCCCGAGATGGGGCTCTTCTCTCCGAGAGGATGGAGCAGCTCCAGCTTGGTGTTGCCGAGCTCCACGAACACAGTGTAGACACCATGATCGGGCAGGGGCACCTTCTCACTCACCGTGGCCCCCAGCACGTCCCGATACAGCGCCGTGGCCTTCTCCATGTCGGGGACAGCGATGGCGATGTGGTTAAGCCTGCCCAGCTTCCACAGAGACGCGGGAACACCCTGATGGAGGGGCACCGTTGTTGAATGTGCCCTCCGGAGCGCGACGTGAGAGCATCTGGAAACACCTGCCGCTAAATATGAAATTAAAATACAAAGAGATCAGCTGTGTTTGTTGTTTCTACTCGAGTAGCTTTGATGTATGCTGTATATTCTGGACCAAGTCCCGAGTTACATTAATGATATTTAAAGCCTATGCTTCCTGCACTCCCAAATCTGTTCTCTTTTGTGTGACTGACTGTTGGTTTTAGATCATATAAATAATAAATAGACCAATCTTTACCGTTTGGTGTTCTGTTTGATGCTTGCTGACTTAATGTAAACATGAATAACACTAATTTGTGAAAGAAAGACTTTTCAAATTAAAATGATTAGGCTTCCCTTCCTCCTACGACCAATCGACAGGGCAATTCCTTAAAGACGACTTTTTAAAGTAAAGTGCTCATACTGAACATAAAATAATACCTTATGAAGACATAGTTTTTTACTGATGATACTTAGTTTTTTTATTTTAAAGCTGAAGTATCAGGAGTACATATCAATAATCTTTGTTTTATTACTATAAGAGCAATCTTTTGTTTCCCAGGCCATAATCTTCTTTGAATTCTTCTCCTAGTCTCAGACAAGGCTTAATCCCTGTCTGGGAAACCTGCTGTTTATGTACTGAACATATACATATAATTAGGTTATTAGGTCAACCCTGTGTTTCAGAGAGTAAATAACAGTACCCATATAATTTTACACACATCTCCTTACCATACAAAAATCTTGGAATAAAATGCTCCAGTGTGAAGTTACTTCATGGTATGGCTTTGGCTTAAGTTAGTAGTTAGGAAGTTAATAGGTACCTTGGCCAAGCATCTCTGTCTGTAAACGCAACAGCTTGAAGTGAATGATAAAACTTTGTAGGGGTATAGCGTGGGGTCATGTTAACTTGGCTTACATCCACCAAGGTCAGCGTAATGATTTATTGGTCACAAATTCACAAAAAGCTTTGTAACTTAGAAACTATAATTCTTATGATTGTCCTGTGTATTGTAAACATGGAGAAAGCAGATTGTAAAGATTTCAAATGTGTCACCTTCAAGGTCAAATGATTGATCAATTGATAGCCTGATAGACTGAATTGATTGAGAGGTGATAACAACGCTATGTGGAGCTATTTTATTGGAAAACAAAAGCAAAAACTAGTTTGATCAAAGACTTTTTTCACCTGACATGTATTGCTAAACATTTTAGGAACCACTGAAATAAATGCTACACATGTACTATATCCACATAAAAAATTATGCTCAAAATTATGCCAACTATATTCAAATGAGTTTCAACGCGGCAAATAACAAAAGCCTTTTTGCTGCACTACAAACTTCCTAAAGTATATTTGAAAAGAACAAAGAAAATAACTGAATATAGAGAAAATACAATACTACTCCCTTAAAAGTAAATACTGTATACAGAGTGAGCTGCCTTGGCGGAGGTTTGCGCTTTTTGAGTGCTTCTGGTTCATGATGTAACGTAAACATTGCTTATGTTCGTCAACTTTGCGGGCTCGTTTGAGCTTCCGAAAAAAATTACAGCTCACTATAACGAAGCTTAGTATCATCGTTTATCGTTTGCAGAACAGTGAACTTAATAGCGAAAATTTCGAAGCTGAATAATTGTTGACACAGACCTGCAACCTTCAGCACGGCGGACGCCATGTTCGTTCCCCGGAACCAAGTGGCAGGTACAGAGCGGTTTCTCGGTGAGCCTGTTTACGTGCGACACAGACAGCCACACATGTGGGGACAATCATGGCTAGTGGAGATGTGCTCGGTGTTCTGGAAGAGTGTGTAAAGAAAATAAATGCCAACACAGCACAGCCAGAAAACTTCCTCGGGTAAGTGTTTGTTGTTTGCGTTGAGTAATTTTTTTTAAATCTTTTGAAGAAGCTGTTAAATATTTTTATAAATTCGCTCCAGCTAGCTGAAGCTAACTGTAGCGTTAGCACAGCATTAACACATTTACCTGACAACACGTTTATACGTCGAGGTTTTGGTAAGATGTAAATGATTAGGCGAGTTTCTCCTTTTTGCTTCATGTAGAAACATTTAGTCGCTTTATGTTCCTAAAATCAGCTGGCTCACGCATTTGGGGATTGCTACACCTTTAAACAGATCTTCATGGTATGAGCGTATCCAACTGCAGTAACATTTATGCTCATAAAATAAAAGTTAGGTCATTACTGTAAGCTGTCTGTAGAGCTACGTAAAAAAAAATAAAGAAAAGAAAACAAAGATGATGTGCTTGTAATAACTGACGTGTGTTAGACTACCAACTGCTGTGACACACCAGATGTTTATTCATTGCATATCATGTTTGTCAATCCTGATTTAGACTCAGAAAGTCCACACCTGTTAGAAAATGTAAAACTTCAAATGTCTTGAATGAAGTAAATATCTAGTACGGTATATGCATTTGTGCACACAAGTCTGTGTTACCGTATTTCAAATGGGGGTTAAGACCCCTCACCAAACGGGAGACAACTTGTATGAATAAAATGGTGGAGAAGCCCTACTGAATTTCCACAATCAGACAGGGAAGTTTTTCCCAACAGAACAGGACTGATTCCACAGGTTTGCCATAGACGGCACATCTCAAAGCCCAGTAGTCAAAAAAGGCCTGAGCTCTTGGTGCTGGAGCTGCTTAAGCAGTTTAACAAATAAGCACAATGCTGTTTTGGTGTGGGAGGCCTGGATCACTCACACACACACACACACACACACACACACACACACACACACACACACAGAGCACAGCTTTTTCTTGAGGAGCCCAAAAGTCGGCGTAATACAGGAAAATTGTTAATCAATCCCAAATTGTGGCATTTCATTGCTTTTTGGAGTGGCAACTGTAGTAATTTATGTCGAATGCTACTGCTGCAGTCATTAAAAATATGATTTTCTGTATCAAATTTTCACTTCATTCTGAGCTACTGAAACAAGAGAAGAAAATTGCTGAAAAGTGGCAAAACGTGCACTTCTAGACTGTATGTGGTATAGTAGTGATCTTAGAGCCAGCCCAAAACCACAGGCCACATCATCCCATGGCAACTAAATCAATAATTTGAAGGATGAAACAGTCCCATGGGGCAAGTTGCTGCCCCAAGTGGAAGAGTTTAAGCATGAATGAGGGGAGGAGGAGACTGGCAGATGGATTGAAGCGGCATCAGCAGTGATGCGGATAGTCTGTCGGTTTGTTGTGGTGAAGAGAGAGCTGAGCCTAAAAATGAAGTTTGGATTACCGATCGATTTACATTCCTGCCCTCACTTATGGTCACGAGCTCTGGGCAGTGACCGAAAGAACGAGGTCACGGATGTGATTGCACCCATCTGGATAAGCTGCAAGAGGTGGTGAGGGAAGTCTTCTCTGATTAGACTGCTGCCCCTGCGACCTGAACCCAGATAAGCGGTAGAAGATGTATGGATGAAATGTAGTGGTTTTGTTTTTGTACCAACACATTAACAAATAAACCACAGACTTTCATCCAATTCAGTTATTTAATAAAAACAACAACAACAAATTTCCCCCCCAATATTGCATCATAAGACATACCCGACTAATTCTGTGTCTTTTCATCTTTGCAGCCTTCAAGATGAAGTGGCAACAGACTTTACCTCCATCACTAAGACTCTGTATGACCTCCACAAAGCTCAGGAACCTGGACATTATACAGGAAGCCCGCTAGCTCAGCTGGTTGTGGAAAATTTTGATGAAGAACAGATTTGGCAGGAGCTAGAGCTGCAGAACAAAGCCGTACTGAAACACTTTAAAAACGCCATAGACGAAGCTTTGGCAGATGAGACGTTAACTGTGCTGGAGGAAGAGGAGCAGGAAGAGAGTGGTCAAGAAGAAGAAGGAGCATCAGCAGATAATGATGACGATGAAGAAGAAGAGGAGGAGGAACAAGAATTGGAACCACCGAGACAGACAAAGAAAATGGCTGTGGAGGAAGACGATAACACAGAGGATGACTCTGATTTGGATTTTGATGTGGATGCTCTGGAGAAAAAAGAGAAACAGAAGAAGGATACAGGAAGGAAGGCATCCAAAGCAAAAGTGGTGCCCTCTGAGGTTGATGATAAGTTCTTTAAACTGTCAGAGATGGAGGCATTTTTGGATGATATGGACAAGCGCGAGGGAAAGGAGGATGAAGATGACGTAGACTATTTTCAGGATCTGCCCTCAGATGAGGATGATGATCTTGACCTAGAGCAAATCATTTCCACCAAAAAGCAAAAGAAAAATACTGTATGTAACTTATCACACATTTTCCACTCATTTTTTTTGCCTCCCAATAGTTCAAACTACAGCAAATATGTTGATTGTTCTTTATACCGACAGGTGAAGAGCTCCAGGAATCTCAAGTACAAGGACTTCTTTGACGCCGTGGACAGCGAACCCGCTAAAACAGACGACCCATCAGATGGAGAGGATGACAGCGTGGATGAAAGCCAGGAGGAAGGTGAAGAAGTAATAGATGACGACTATGATGGCGAAGAGGAGGGTGATGATGAGTAAGTGCAATCAAAAATGATAAAACGTGCAGTTATGTGTGGGAGAAGTCAATTTCACCATGTTCGTGTCTGCACTTTGGCAGGGAAGAGGAGAGGGGTCAGTCTAGGTCGTCTCATAAGAAAGTGACCTTTAATCTCTCGGATGATGAAGACAGCGAGGGAGAGGATGTGGAGGACATTTTGGGAGGAAAAGCCAAAGGCTCAGCCAAGTCTGAAGCAAAATCATCATTTGAGAAACGGCAAGAAAAGGTAAATGAAATGCAACTGAAACGAGGTTTTAGATGTCTCTGGTTTGATTAACATATCCAACACAGCAAGTTGGAGCAAGTTTTTTAATTTGATTCCAATTTATCCCTGTTTGACTTAAGAGGATGCAGCTGTAAGCCCTCCAGAATAATAAAAAGCAAAATAAAGTGTTAAATCACAAGAGGACTGAGGGTGTGCTCACACTAAGTGTGGTTGTCTTGTATCGTGCTTGCTCTTTCATGCACTTAAAACTCTTAAAAGTGCTCTTGTAGAGCACAGTTCATAATTCTAGGATGCATGTGTCCTCTCACATGTGTTATAGATGTATTTAAAAGGCCCCATTAAACTTGCATTCTTTTGAATGGCCCCCAGGTGGCATAGTTGTGGTTGCAGAAAGACTTAAAATGCTATTCAAGTCTACAAGTAAATGAACCTCTGTAAACACTTTGCTGATTAATTTTGGTCATTGTGTTTGTCAGAAAGGAGAATTATCCAGGTTATGCTCATTGGCTTGTGATTGACAGCTTATTAGGCGATTTACTTGTGGTTTCACAGTCAGATCCACCCCTCATCTCATCTGGTTTTAAAATACAGAGATGGCAAGGGTGAAAACTCTCATTTCGAGGTATCAGTTCAGAAACCAGTGAATGATGATGTAGTAGTTGCATCCATCTGTATCAGGCCTGAGTTGAACTAAACAGTGGGGAGCAGCGATCACACTTGACGAATGAACTAGAATTTGGGGGTTCAGGCACGATACTGATTGCTTTGTGTGAGTACACTCTTTAAATCTGCCGGAGTGCTGATACCACTTTTTGTTTGTTTGTTTATTTGTTTTGAAATCATAAATTTCAGATTCTTGCACTATAGGTGATCCTATAGTGTAAATTTCCCAACGTATCACATTAGTGAACAGCGTCCTTCACTCTTGTTGGTAGTTGCTTCAGAGTGGAGATTAGTTTAACTCCTTACCTGCCTCCTTCGATTGAATGTCTCACCTGTACCTGAAGGAGCACAGATCATGGGTACCCAACATTGACCCAACAGGGCTGATTTTTAGTTCACTGTTGGTGACTGTGCAATCCTGCATTTGCTGTAACCTGCAGATGTCCCAGAAGATTGAAGAGCTAGAGAAAGCAGCTTTAGCAGAGAAACCCTGGCAGCTGTCCGGAGAAGTAACTGCACAGACCCGTCCTGAAAACAGCATGCTGGAGGAAGACGTGGCGTTTGAGCAGACGTCCAGGACGGGTTAGTGACCACCCAGCACCTCCCAAACTCCCACTCTGTTTGTGCATGCTTTAGTTTGAATAATTAATAGCAGCCTTATTATGTCAAATCATAGAGTAAAATTTCTCATTTGTTTTTTTAGCTCCTGCAATCACAGAAGAAACTACACTACAGCTGGAAGACATCATCAAACAGAGAATTAAAGACCAAGTTAGTAACAGTAACCAGCATTTTTTTATTATTATTATTATTCATTTTTTATATTATTATAATGAATAACCTAGTTACTTATACTTGTGTTTCTGGAAGGCTTTCGATGACGTGGTTCGCAAAGAGAAGCCTAAGGAGGAGGTGTTTGAGTACAAGAAGAGGCTCACGTTGGACCATGAGAAGAGCAAGCAGAGTTTAGCAGAAATCTATGAGCAAGAATATCTCAAGCAGAATCAGGTTTGACTTTTTTTCTTGTTTTCATTAGAACTTTGACACATATGAAGCATTTCCTCAAATATTCATTGTATTATTATTATCATCTTTTGTAATTTCAGCAAAAAACGGAGGAGGAGGAGGAGAACCCAGCCCATGTAGAAATTCAGAAGCTTATGGACACACTCTTCCTAAAGTTAGATGCTCTTTCCAACTTCCACTTCACACCTAAGCCGGTGAGTTTTTCCTGCTAGCAGTGACTAAAACTAGATAGTCTGC